ATTTGTCTTTCTCTGACTGACTTATTTCACTTAGCATAATGTTCTCTAGTTCCATCCATATTGTTGCAAATGGTACTATTTCCTTCTTCTTTATAGCTGAATAATACTCCATTGTGTAGATGTACCAAAGTCTCAGAGACACAGAGGAAGAACTGAGGGTTGCTAGTAGGGAGGGGGTGGGGATGAAGGAGAAGGGGAAGGGATGAGACAATACAATTGGGTAATTGTAATTTGGCCACAGGGATAGAAAAAGACAGTTCGAGGAATACAATCATTAATGTTGTAAGCATTTCTTAGGGGGCCAGATGGACCCATGTCCTTTTGGAGAGTCCACTTCATAGTTGATGTAGAGGCCTGACGACCGCATTGTATTCCTGAAACTGATGTTGAATAATACTGTATGTCAACGATAATTATATATACATATATAACCTCGGGACATGGAGTAGAGTGCGGGAATGGATTCAATGGAATTGTAATAGATAAGCATGATATCGGGGGTGGGAGGGCAGTGGATGGGGGGAGGGGGGTTGTTACTTTGTGAGGGTGAAAAGGGTAACTATTGCATTGTTCTGTACACCTGAAACTAACAATAAAAAATTAAAAAAAAAAAAAGAATAAGTTGGGGGGCGGGGAGGGCAGCCGAGTGGCTTAGTTGGTTAAGAGCTTGCTTAAGAGTGCGAGCTCTGTGCATGAGCAACAGGGTCGCTGGTTCGATTCCCACGTGGGCCAGTGAGCTGCACCTGAGCTGAGCTGCTGCTGAGCTGCCAACAGGTGGCAGGATGGCTCAGCTGGTGAGGACACATGCTCCTAACAATAATGTTGCCTATTCGAGACAGTGAGCTATGCCCACCCACAACTAATTGAACACAGCACCTTGAGCTGAGCAGCAGGACTGGACTTGGAGCTGAGCTTGCTGCACCTTCCACAACTAAGATTGAAGGACAACAACTTGGCTGTTCCCCTCCCCCAATAAAAATCTTAAAAAATAAAAATAAAATAAGTTGGGGACAGAGGGTAAAAAGATTGTCTCCAATACTAAGTTTTTAAAAATGTATACCAAAGCACTTGGGCCTAGAGCACAAGTACAGAGAAGATGGGTGGAAGATTCCAGAAATAGATGAGAAAACAAAAAAAACAAAATCTTATTCCTGGATGAGAGTCCAATAGCTGAAATTGGTGGTGTAGTTTCCTAGTTAGCTAACCTTTTATGAGACTGAGCTAACCTTTTAAATGATTGGTTTCACTCGAGTGACGGGTAAGAAATGAAAAAGCCACCACAAAATGAAACATGTTCTATGGACTACTTTCATCTAAAAATCCCTTTGAGGAGCAACTCTGTGTGTCAGCCCAGCACAGGAAGGCTGTGCTAGGTGCCTCATCGGTGGAGTTGTCTGTTCTTCAACCATGAACAAAGAACCAAAAGAAAGTTCAAGTGTCCATGTCTTGCCCTTTTCGATTGCTTCCTAGTTTTGTTTTACTTTGTTTTCCAGTTTAATTGAGATGGTGTGAGGAGAGATAACCTTTTTATGGAACCCTGGTCTTTATCTTTTATTGGTTCCTAAGAAATTTATAGCAGAACTGTTTATTACACACACAAAAAATTTAGGAAACTTATGTTCAGTTTTTGAAGCTCAAGCTCAACCCAGAGAGCAAGTTACAAGAGGGTAGAAGTAACATCTCTATTTCATAGAATTTTAGCAAATGATTACTCTCAGGTTTTTTCCCCCAGAGTTGTTTCTTCTCTGTAAACTTCTAGCCGGAATAGGCTTTTTTTTTTCTTTCTTTTTTTTTGCTTTTTATGTTTTTGTCAATTGTAGGTTCTAAATTTAGGGCTCAAGTTGATTTTCTTTTCTTTTTGAGTTTTGCATTCATTGTAGCTTTGGGAGCATATATATTTAGCTACTACCAGTTTACTCCTTGGTAGGACTAGTAGCTAAGTCAAATTTTTTCTCTTAAAATTATATGAATTTTCTCTCATAGAACACAGCTTCATCTAGATAGAATGAGATGCTTTCCCATCCCTTAAATGAAGGGGAAATCTCTTTTATACACACTAAAATTCTTTGGGAAGAAAGAAGAACAAAGGAAAGGCACATTTGAGAAATATCTGAAACTATAAAATAACATCAATGAAAAAGTCAACAAATATTTTCTAACGCTGTACACATATATGAGGCACATATTAAGTGCCTATGCTTTTACCTGAATCTTCAAAAGTATAAAGTTAATATCATGGAAAGGTGTTCAACCTTGAAACTGCATATCTTGCTAATTGTTATAGAAATTCCTGAATTACTCATTGCCTTAATGGAATATTAAAATAAGCATTTTTGTGGTATTCATGTCTGTCTACTCTTTACATATTAAGCCTTCTTTTCCAGTTCAGTCTTATAGTTGACTGAGCACTCTTTCTTGTTGTCTCCTTCACTTCTGTTTCCTTGTTCATCTGTTTCTGTCTCAATCAAATCCTTTGCACTTTGCTGAAATTTTGGTCATTAATATTTATGATGTCTAGAGAAATAGCTTTTAAATTGCAACTAACTCTATTATTTCTTTCACTTACTTCAATGCTTTTTTTCCCTTCTTAATAAATAAGTTATAGAAGAAGACGTGGTAGGAAAATAAACAGAGGCCAGAAAGAATACAGAAGGATGTCACCTGAATACCCGATTATTATTTAATGATGGGAAGAATGGGTGGGATGGATAGCTATTATTTATTTGTCATTTAATTTAGAATCAGGTACTGGACTAAGAGCCTTGTAGACATTTATTAATTTAATGTTTATGCTGACTTTCTAAGACAGTATAGTGCCATGGTTTTCAAACTTCACTTGGGAGTCAGATTGCCTAAGTACAAATTCTGGCTCTTTATACTTGCTAGATATGTGACCCTAAGCGAGTCACTTAACTGCTTTATGTTTCATCATTAATACTAGGGTGATAATAACAGTACCTACAATGTAGAGTTCTTGTAAACATTAAATGAGTTAATGCAAAAAACTTAGACTAATGCTTGGGGCATAGCAATCACTCAGTTAAAGTTTAGCTTATTACTATGCTCCTCATTTTCAAATGAGAAGATGAGGCTCACAGAAGCTCTGTTTAGTTGCTTAAACAACTGACCACAGCAAGGCAGTATTTGAACTCAGGCCTGTTTGACTCCAAAACTACCAGAGTTAAATGTTTCCACTGTCAATGACAATGTTCAAATACTCTGAAATCCATGGTTGAATGGCTGCAATCCACAGAGGTCCAGGCCAACCGCTCCTATTCTAGTCCCTGCAAATGTTTAAAAACCAGCTCCAGACACTCAGAAGAGAAGCTTCAGAATTTAAATGAAGCAAAACTAGGGATTAGCCTGAACTAGAAAAGACACCATTCTCTCAGCTAATGCTGTCCAGGAGCCATTTTTTGTTGTTGTATTTTGTTCTTTTTCTGTTTTGGAAGTTAGCAGAAATTAAGACTTTATACTTAACTCTCATTAGATATCATTTATAATCTGTTAAAATTGTGTTTAACTATAGGTAGTTCTTATCACTTGATATGGGTTAAATAATTCTTACATTATCTTTTATTGATATTTCACTTATAATTCTAATGTAAATAACCCCTCCCAGTATTATAATATTTTTAGACTGAAATAGAACCTCCTGAAATATTGCAATCAAATATTGGCAGCCAGATTGGGCAAAACGAAAGGGCAGGCAATTGCCTTAGAAAGGCTTATTCTGATATGGTGTGCTATGTCCACCCATTCAGAAAGCCAATGTCCTAAATTGCCCACTTTATAACATTCATATCCAAACCCAAACTCTCAATATTTCCCCCCAAACCACTTCTGCAGTTTCCCTTCCATCAATAAAAGGTAGCTTCATTCTTCCATTTGCTCAAAGCAAAAAAACTTGGTGTTGTCCTTCCTTCTTGATTTTTCTCTCACAACCTACATCTTATACATCAGCAAATACTAGAGGCTTAACTTTCAATCTATATTCAGAACATCACCACTTCTCCCCATCGCTTCTGCCACCGCTCTGGTTCAAGCCCCCGTCTTCCTAGCCCGTCTCTGCCATTTCCTACATCAGTTGCTCCCTCAGTTACTCCCCTGCCCAAACCTCCAAGGACTCTTTCTCACTCAGGGTAAAGCCATGTGATGACACACAGGCCCTATATCATCTGCCATCTGATGCCTTTCTGACCTCATTTCCTGTTATTCCCTTCATCAATCCTGCACTCAAACGGGCCTCTTCTCTGTTTCTGGAACAAGCCAGCAGGCTCTTGCCTCTGGGGCCTCGGATGTTCTCCCCTTGGATAGTCATGCGTCTACAGGTCTTTACTCAACAGTCACGCTCCCAATGAGCCCTTCTCCAGACTCCCTATCTAAAATGTTCACCTTTCGTCTCCAACCCGCCCCCCTGCAGTACTTTTTCTTCTTAGACTAAGTCTGTGTCACTATCTAACACAATATATTTTACTTATTTAGACTGTTTATTTTCTGTCTCCCCATCAGATTATAAACTCCATAAATACAAGAATTCTTTTCTGTCTCTTTTGTTCACTGCTGTTTCCCCAGTGCCTGTCACATGATAGGCACTCAATACATTTTTGTTAAATGAACTGAATTCAGACAAATTGAAATTATAAACTTTCTACATAAAATGATAGCTAAAATGTTTTCCATTTATAAACTTGTTAGTTATTCAGTCAGTCCTAATTAATAGTTCTGAAATCAATTTTAATTATCTGACAACATGATATACCAAACTGAGGTATTTATATTTTCTGTTTATCCCACTTTCTGGAACATTTGATAGCAGCTTTCCACCACAAAAACATTTTTAGATTAAAATTACTTTGCCCCCTATGGTTATCTGTGGCCACTGGTAACAAATTGTTTGTGCTAGTGCTAAGTGAGTCAACGCTGATTGGCCATTTGGGAACTCAAACAAACTTTAAATTTCAGCAAATTGCCCAGAAACTGCTAAACCTGCAGAAGAAGCCAGGTATTCTGAAGATAAAACATATCAGGTAATTTGGCTTTCTTGATGTTCTTGATAGCAAATAGCTTTATAATACAATTGTTTACGTTTTTCAGGATGCACACCATGCAACTAGGGAGATTGCTTTTGAAAATAAATGCAAACTGAAAGTATTCATTACTGAACACAACTGTGTAATATTTAGTGCTTTGTTTTATAAAATAGAAAGCGTGTTACCAAGCTTTAGAAATTATCAACTAAAACTGATGGCTCAGTGGCAATTTCTTTTTTGAGTAGACTGTCAGCATTATCAAGATCCACAAAAACTCAAAGACTCTAATTTTACTTTATACCTTCACTTATAAACCAGAATAAGGATAATGTGATCATATTCATACTTTCCAACTTCACCTGTGCTGATATCACCTGTGCTAATATTTCTCAGTATTAAGTCATTTAAGAAATGACTTGTATTGTCCTGACCTCCAAAATGCTTGGATGGCTAAATTATAGTCAAAATTAAGGTTCTGAAAATTGTGTTAATTTAGGAGAGAATAGCTTAGAATTTTAGAATATATTTAATAGTTATATTTACTTCTACAAATAAAATGTTTTACCTTGAAATGTTTAAAGATTGCAATAGTATTTAGATTATTTTTCCCATTAAAGGTGCTTTTCCCCAAGTAATCTCAAAGAGTCGTGTAAATTTTTTATTCTCATATTGGATGCTCTATATCTGTGTGGTAGTTAGTAAAATACTTAATGTTCATCAAAACCAATAGATTAGTAATCCAAGGATATGTTGACTTTTTTTTCAATCTAATGGCTACTTAAGTGAGCTCATTAGATCCTCTTAGTATATTTACCAAAGGATATACATATAACTTTATACATAGCTAAATGTTAATGTTTTAAACATAATTTTGCTGAGCCCAATATAAAATATAATTTGCCTTTAAATCAACTACATGTAGATTTTTCTGTAATAAGATAGAGGAATAGAAACATTCCAGGTGGCATAGAGTCTTCATGGAGAACACTGGCTCTCTAGCTACATTGCCCACTTTACTATCTAACCCCAGTTCTGCCCCTTAAGACCTGGGGATTCTGGGGCAAGTTATTTGACTTTCTGTACCTATTTCCTAATCTATAAAACAGAAATAATAATACCACTTAACTCATAAGGTTGTTATGAGGCTAAATGAATTGAATATGTGTAAAAATTTTAGAACAGTGTTTGGCTCATTTTAGCAGTCAATAAACTTTAGCTATTACTATATCATATAAATTGTTTCACTCTCCAGTCCATGGATGGCTACCAACTCAGACACATTGTTCATAACTATAAGGACATATATTGGGGTACCGGTTTGGTAACAGGCAAGGTTATATTTCTCACCATGGAGGCTGCTACCCTGGCAACTCATTTAAATAATATGTCATGAGCTACTATGCTAACTTAATGTTATTATGAATAATATTAATAATTAAAGTAAACTCTTTCTGTGTAAAGATAAAAAGGAAACATTTGGACTGACAGTAGAGAAAATAAATATGTCTACAAAATTCATTTTTATCAACTGACTTCATTGTTTTAATAACATTGGACAATTTTCATTTTCACATTGGAATAATTAGACATATGAAAACACTTACATTAAAGTATCCACACCTGGGTATAAATAAATTATAACTTAAAAAAAAAAGGACTGCTAAAGAGAAAGATGTTTGTATATACTTTTGTATTTTATTTATTTTTATGGCTGCAGTTCATAACTGGCAATGCTTTAGGGTAAAATATTATTGTCTTTTTACAGAAATTCTCAAAGATGCAAATTGTCTGTTTGGGACTGCTCCTTTTCAGTCTGACCTGGGCAGCACCAGTAAGCATTTACAAATTCAGTTATGCATCATATAATCTCTTGCTCTCTTTATGTATTTTTACTTTAAGCAATGTATTTTCAAATTCGTTAAAACTTACCTAGTTCAGTTATAATAAGCATGAGCTGAATTACAAGCTATCAACATGTTAGCTTTTAAGAAATACCAAAAAGAGTGCTTTTGAGAAAACCAAGAGCTAGCCACAGTGTTTCAAGTCAGCTAAGGCTAATGAGTAAATACTCAGAGCCTCAAATTATAACATGTCAAAAAAAAACTTTTCAAGATTCTACTAAAAACTGAAAAAAAAATTTTAACTTGAATAATTTAATGCTAATCAACTAAATTTTGTAAATACAAGGCAATACAAGAGGACCAAACTTCCGTATAATTTTTGCAACACCCCAACACTGTGAGATCTTGGTAATGATTTTTCTCTTCACCAGTGAGGGTAAAGGCGGGGGAGGAAGTGTCCCCAAGCTCCAATTTCTTTTTGTATCTTTTCTTCTCTCTGATTCACCCAGATGAGTACTCAGGATGTGACAAATTATCTTGTGAAAATGCTGAGTGTTACCGATATTTTCTGCAATGCAGACACGGTGCCAATTAGATAATGTCTGGAAACCATTCTAATGTCTCAGAGTAACTTTTTAGGTTGGAGAACCATGGAAACAAGTGGTCATTTTGTTGCCAGAAGTACTTAAATATAGGCCCTGCATGAGTGGGTGACCAGTTGGGTAACCCACTGACAACCATACCATCCGGTGAGGACAGCAGAAGTTGAGGAAAGCATGTCCACTGTCAGCTCACAGCCTCTAACAGTCCTATGGGAACTGTTCTGCTTAAAATAGTCATCTGCCAGGTCCAATCCGCATGACTTAACTCAGCCAGGGCCACAGACGCCTGTGCTTAGGCAGCAAGAGGGTCTTGCTGATTCAGCTCAATCCCACCAGCATGGGATGAGGGTGTTTTCAGCAACACATCCCAAAGAGCAGCTGGAGTGGCACTCCTTGACCATTTTCCAGTAAATGCGCTATGTCAACATCAATCCAGTGACCATCTGTCAAAAGCAGGTGCCAGCTTTTTTCTCCAGAGAGAGACAATGCCTCTTCCATTACAGGGCCACATTCAAACATGGGAGAACTGCCAAGTGGGTGTTGGGGGAGAAGGGAGGGAGGCATATTTCAAATGAAAGAGGTTTGGCAAGGGCATAGAGACAAAATTTAAAATTACGAATGTAATGTTTTTCTCTCAGATAAGTATATTCCATTTGAGCAATCATTTAATTATTTAATAATAGATTGGCATTATCAGAAATTAGTATATACTGAGTTACCTACATATGTTTTGAAATTATAAGCCAAATTCGAACTGCAGGGGAGGAAAAAGTTTTCCTCAACCCTCTTTGGGTCCCTGGTTGGTCTGAAAATTAAACTGACAAAGACAGATGAACAGGAGAAATGCATACCAATGTTATTGAATTTTTACATGTACATGGGAGCCTTCACAAGAGAATGAAGACTCAAAAGTGACCAGAGCAAGAAGCTTTTACACCTTTTAGACAAAGAAATGATACATTTGTGAAGAACTGACAAGACAAAATGTTTGGGCAAGGGGTAGTCCAGGTAGGGCTAGGTAGTTCTTACCTTCCTCAACTAGAAAGATTAGGGTTGGCTTAACAAGGTTTGTTTGCCAATTACTCTGGTGTGGTCTCTGCACGGATAAGAGTCTGTCTCCAGTAGAAGGAGAATTTATTCCTGTCTTTAGGCACAAAAGGGAAAACTTTTTCTGTTTATTATTTTTTAATTGTCTTCAGTTCAAAATAATTTTTATGTCAAAGAGGCATATTTTGGGGTGATGTTTTGGTTTCCTTCAAAAATATAATTTATAAATGGAAGAAAATAAAAGATGATTATTGGGCTATGTGATTTAATTAATATTCATCAGTATGCAATTAGACTATAAAGACTTTGTTATAAGTTACTTTGCTGTAAGTTCATGACTTATCATTGTGAACTATATTATGAACTACTCTATACTATCTAGTATGTTTTTAATACATGCACATGTGTGTTCTGTAAGAAGATGACAAATGCCACCAAACTGTCATTTCTTTTTTTTAAATTAATACCTACCCATCTCATTTTTATGTTTTCTCTTTCCTAACCCGATTTCCAGATCTGTTTTCACTGTTTTGATACTTTTGAGAAATTATGCAATGATCTAAATTTATATGCACAAGGTCATATAAAACCCATGATAAAAAAGGCAATAAAAGATAAAATTATAAAATGTGCCTGAAGGTACTTAATGTAAACTTCCTCTTATTCTTAAATGTTTTTTTCATATATCAAGCCATTTAAAAATGTATTATTTTTAATGCTGGGACTTTGAATCAGAGGATTTAGCTAAAAATATCTCCTTTACTTCTACTACTGCTATCAGCTGTGTAAGTGTCCTGTTTCCCCAACTGCCTATCTCACATGGGGATTAGGTGAGATTATTTATATGAAAGTGGTTTACAAACTGTAAATTGCTATATAAATCTAAGGTGTTATTGACAAACTATTTTTTCATACAAATTTATACTTTTATTTTTATGGCAAGAATTATACTTTAATAGAGAGATTTCTAGGAATAGAAGTATTGAGTAGAAGAGAATATCTATTTTTTCCATAGATATTGCCGTATTTTCTTCCCCAAATGCTATACATCTTTACATTCTTACCACCAATATCTATCATATTATCCTTTTCTCTATATCTGCATCCAATGAGTATACAGTTATAGTTCATTATTTATTTAAGGTGTATTCCTGTCTTTTTAAAGTTGAATTATAATTGACATACAATCTTAGAGTAGTTACAGGTGTGTAGCATAGTGATTCAATGTTTTCATTCATTACAAAATGATCACCAGGATAAGTCTAGTACCCATCTGTCACCATACAATGGTATTATAATATTATTGACTATATTCCCTCAGCTGTACACTACATCTCCATGACTAATTTATTTTATTACTGGAAGTTTATGCTTCTTAATCCCCTTCACTTATTTTGCCCATTGCTTACCCATTCCTCTCTAGCAAACACCAGTTTGTCCTCTGTTTCTATGATTGACAAACTATTATTGTTTCTAGGATGGAATGGAATATTAAGGAGGTCTGCCTTGGAGCCCAGCCAATAGGGTACTTTTACTGAAGTTTTGAGTTTATTTTTAAGGCGATTTTATCAGTCAGGGTCTAGTCAGGAAAACAAAATCCATGACAGGAAGCTCAGTAACAAGGGTTCTATTTGGAGAATAGTTATAAAGTATAGGACAAACAGAAGGGGCAAATCAAGGGTGATGAGGCAACATAAAGATTGAAGCCACTACCACACCTTGGGCTGGAGTGCCCTGTGGGGAGCAGAAACTAGGACCACAAAAGAGATGCATCAAATCCTAGAGATGCAGCACCAAACCAAGAGAGCAGGGAAGGACCATACCTTGGCTTTTTTCTCCTTCTACCCTCCAGTCTCAGACCCAGTCTCCCACCAGCCAAACCCAGACTGGAGTCAGATGGCAAAGGAGCTCAGGAAATGTTGTTTGTAAGGCTCATCCCAGAGAGAACAGATGTACAGTATCTGAAAGCAAGCAGGACAATTGCTCATATCTTATTGCAAGGAAATACAGAACTTGAAGGTTTATTCAGGCAGGACACTCTCTAGGTGGATAGGGTCTTTTTATTTCATCTTTCCCCTGAGGGTTTCTCTTTTTGATGTGAATGATACTGCCATGATGCCTACTTCCACTTTAGCACACACATTCAAACATAAATCAGTCCTACCCATTGGTTCCTCTTGTCACACCTGAGATAACCTAGGAGCTTCAAAAGCAAATAAGGAAATAAAAATACTGAGAATAAAGAGTCTTTATGTCTGTTGCCTCCATGGTAAGCTTGCTCCAGGATTCTCAGGTCTTCTTCTGATTGCTCTCTTGAGACACCTAAATTTTAGCCCAAAAGCCTGGAACAAGCTGCCTGGGTCTATTTCTTTTTGGTTTCTGGCGTTTCTCCGCTTTAATGGCTTTGGGTAAGAGGCATTTTGACACTTTCATGTCAGATCAAAAGAAAGCATTTGTCCCAATTTGCAAGCTACACCATTTTCCTTTTCTTGAAAGAAATATCTGGCAATATTAAGTCTCATTCTTAGGTGTGGTCCTTCTCCTTGTGCAGGGCTACGGTTTACTCTTGCTGCATAAGCAGCACCATATCTTAACTCATATAGCAGTTACTGAATTTATATAATCAATGCACATACAGTTCACATTGCTGAACTCCTATTTTGGTTCACTGATACTAAACAAATCCCAGGGTGTCAGTGAAAATGTCTTTTTCAGTGGATACCAATGGCATCCAAGCTTTTTCACCTGGCGCTCTCCCGTGGTTACGTGTGGTTGTTTAATGGAGATGACATTGTCCCTCTCTGAGGAGGAACGCTAGCACCTTCTTGTAATACTGAAACAAATACTAAGGTGGTGAGTGTGTCCATCTTCTTTCGGTCAGAATGATTTTTCACATTGACTAGTATAACCCAGTGAGAGAAAAATAAATGAAACATCTATTGTTTGAAAACATGAATGTAAGAAGGAACGTTTGGTGAAGGTTTATTTCTTGTTTCCTTTCAGACATTTAAAGCACAGACTGAGAAAACTAAGCAAGACTGTGTGGAAGAACAGAGGGTAAACAGAATTATTCTTCTCAAATAAAACTGTTTCAACTCTGTAAAGGAAAAAGTCAGTAAAAGGAAAATTTTAACTGTCAAAATATTCCTGTGTACTTAGAATGGAAAGGCAAAATTGCACAACATAATTTTGGCACTTTAATTCACACAATGTGTGACAGAAAAGAGAAAGGCATTCTAACTGGAGATTTCTCTTCAGTATGATTTCTTCCTTCACAGGGATGAGTGAGTAAAAATTGTGGGATATTGCTATTAACAAACAACATTTTTCCACACATGTACAGGAGAACAAAGCAATAACTGAGAGAGAAAACAGAGGGAACGAGTCTTAACGGGGAATTCTCTTCACATGGAGTTCGTTTTCCATATGATCCAGAAAGTTAAATAAGTTCCCTCAGCTTTTCATGTCACCAAATTGCAGCTTACTTCTGCCTGCCACGGTTTCTCTTGGCAGTCTCAGAAAATTCTGTTCTAAGAACTAACAATCTTCTGTTCTCTCTCTCAGCTGAAAATTACAAAGGGAAAACCTTTGAAAATTTAAGAGCCTGAATGTTCATGCTGTGAGTTTTGCCAATTTGAAGTCAGGCATGTATACTGGAAAATCTGCCTCTCTTCTAATCCCCTCACCCCCTTCCCACCTGAAAATATTTCCAAGCGTTCCGTTTCTATTGAAATGTGGTAATCAAATTGATACACTCTGGGCAAGAAATAGTCAGTTGGTAGTCATCCTTAGGGAAAACAGATTTAGGGGTACATAGAAAAGAAAAGAACAAGCTACAATCTTCAGGGGCTGGCTGGCACACGCCCTCCAGTGATCATAGGAAGTAAGTACTATCATTTGCGAGGTGTAGAATGAGCCTTCTCCCAAGTTTTATGGTACCTTATACTATCACAAAGAGAGCCAGAAATCTTCTTAGTAAAAGATAAACCTGTCTTAATATAATGTTGTGTTTTTTTAGATAACGTACAAGGGTCACCATAAGAAAAATGGGTATTATATGTTTAAGTATGTTTACACATCACCTGGGAGGAAAAATCAAACTAACATAAAGGTAAGCTGAGTCTCTGAGTGATGACCTTTATCATCAGCCTAGCTCTGGACTAATGCTACGGGAAGCTATAGGGGAGCCTACTCTGGGGTTTCTATCTGTGATTGGTGGTTGTGTCCCTTTCCCATAGTCAAGTGTCTCTGCTGTGGAACTCTGTGTTCCAGAGTCTTCTTCTTGACATGGATGGGCCACCAGTGCCCTGGCCCAAACCCTGCCCTGCCTCAGGACCTGCTGCGGCAGGTGTTGTACTGGTGGACCCCATGAATTTTTTGTGCTATTGCTTCTGATTAACGTTTGGTCTTTTATAGGGAGGTTTATGGGACATATTCTACCATATGCTCTAATGCTGAGGATTGGAAGGCTACTAGGAGAAGTCATTTTGGCCTAAAGAGTGACACATTTTTGTCTCCCTTAAATTTATTTCACAGATGACTCCATCTGTTTCAGAAAGCTCAGAGGAGAAAGAATAAGGGCCTTGTCACTGGAATGGAACAATAATCCTTTTCACTCAGTCCTTTCTTGCAGATCCATTGGCCAAAGAGCTGGAAACTGCTTAAAATGCCATCAGCAAAAAGGATTATTTACTTTTCCAAATCTGGCTTCATTTCCCATGAAAGTAGTAGTTTCCCTTCAGAATGTTGTTTCATTCACCTCGATATTCTTTAGACGCATTTCTAAGCCTAACTGCCTGTTAAACTTTTTTTTGTAACAAATATGAATTTAGCTCTTCCTATCGTGCAAGATACTGTTGTGAGATAAAACTATTGAGAAAACTTACTCCTTTCTCTTCAGGATCCTAGAAAAAAAATATGGCCCTTACAAGAGTCATTATAACCCAAGACAGAATGTGCAAAGTGCTATGTGAGTGGTACCCCAAAAAATCATGCCTTAGGGCTTGGAGTAGAAAAAGACTGTTCCTCGTCTGGTGTTCAGGGAAAGCGACAGAATGGAAATAATTGAGCTGGGCCTTGGAGGATGAGCAGGATTTGAGCAAACAAGTAGGTGGGAGAAGCCATTCTCCATGAAAAGAATATTATGAGGAAAGGTGCAAAGATAGAAAGGCAAAGCAGAGGAAAGCAGACCAGCCAACTGATACACAGATCATCATGCATGCAACAATGCAATCAGAAATCATTTAACATAAGCAAACGCAGAAATAATTGACCATAATACATCACAATTTAAAAGTTGCTATGTTTTCATTTATAAAAGAACCCTATTCAGTCTTTAGTAAAATGCACACAATTCATTGGTATACATGCTACTGTTTTAAAAGCAGTAAAAGCACCAAATATAAAGCAAAACTTCCCACTTCAGGAAAGGGTGGGAAAACATTAAGAAGGATTACCATAATCTACTGATTTTCTAACGCATCTGCTTAAATCAAAAGGATATATTATCAATGAATAAATGAACTTGATTTCAAAGGAAAATATAAATGTTCATGTAAAACTTTCCAAAATTTAATGTCTTAAAATAAGTCAACTGCTTGCAATACTTTTTAATTTAGAAATAATTCCCTATAAAGGTTTTTCTATTATATTTTCCCTCATAACAAAATCTCACTTATTGTCAGAATACACCTGCCAAATAAAAGGCTAGTGAATAATGATGTCATACTTCCCACAAATAGATCATTTCAAATTATATCTTAAAAACACTATTTTAAAATGTTGGAACTTTTGTCTACTACATATTAGCTGGCTGCATAAGAATGGAGGGCACCTTCACAAGCCATTTTTATTTTGAGTCCCAAGTGTGAGCTGACTCAACAATTTCCCCACTGCTTCCAACATTAATAAAATATATGTATAAAAGGAGAACAGTACTATAGTTGAGGATGAGAGAGAGAGAGAGATTATGAGACTGAGAGAGAGAATAATTATTTTAAAAATATGAATTCCATATCACTTGAACAAACTCACTAGTCAAAAGATGAGGAACATACTCTATCCTCCTTAAATTTGGGTCCTCCTTCAAAATCAGGCCCTAATCTATATTTCCAAATTTATTTTTTATTCTCTTCTTTAGGATTTCTCTACTCCAAAGTTACAGTTTTATTCATATTATCATTTAAATGTTTCCTGTTTCCAAACATTTGAATATACTGCTTATTCTTAAAATAGTCTCACTACTTCCCTTCCATGTATCTGCTTCTTACTCACCCTTCAAGCTCATTCTTCTTTCTCCATGAAAAATGCTGTGGCCATTCCAGAATTGTCTCTACCAACAAACCTCTATTGAGTCAATAGAATCTTTTCATTAAGTATCCGATTGATATATGTATGTGTGTGTGTGTGTGTGTGTGTGTGTCTGTGTGTATATATATATATATGGCCAAAAATACATAGATACATTTTAAGAAAGGAAAAAACTGTATTAATTGTAATAATATATACCGATAACAAAAGATGACTATGAGTCACGTTTGACTTCTGCAATTACAAGAGGTGCTCAAAGAGGTTCCCATCAGCGTCCAGACACTTCTGATTATGGCGAACTACTGCTTGAGCAACGTTGACCAGAGTGTCCACTTGTATACATTTTTTTGGCATCCTGATATATATACACACATGTATGTATATGTATACATATATGTATATATATTGTCTAAGAGTTATTAGATTTTTATAATTTAACATAAAATAATCACTTTATGTTGAAAATTACACTTTAGCAGGAAGAAAAAAACCAAGACAATATTGCCCTTCAGCATTCTGGCAGGAGAAGAGATCAAGAGTCAGCACCTAAAGAAAACATTGTCGAGGAAAGACAGAAAAACTTGCTCCTCCTTGGAGCCAATAAAAATAACCAAAGCAGCAAATCCCAAAATCTTTTTGAAAATAGACAGACAGTGAATGACAGTATTAGTAACAAAGAAAATGTCCATAATAACCTAAAGATGTCCACTTATCCTGAATCCACTGGAAATAATGGGGCTGAGGATGGAGGTGATGCTATCAGCAAACTACATGACCAAGAAGAAAATGGCACAGCTCTAATCAGAAATAATATGCAACATATAATGGAGCCAGGAACTGTGATTGAACACTTGGAGGAAGACAAAAAAGAGATCAAACACAGGAACGTTCTGAGCAAAATTCCAGCAAGTGCAAACTACTCGAAAGCCCCCTCAAAAGGTAAGAAGAATCATCATAGAGATTCGCAAGCCCAGAATATTCCAGTAAAAGGCAAAATCACCCACCATACCCAAGACAACACTGACTATCTAAAACAGCTCCGAAAAATCAAAAAAATCCCCAGTGATTTTGAAGGCAGTGGTTACCCAGATCTTCAAGAGATTGGGGATAATGATATCTCTCCTTTCAGTGGAGATGGCCAACCTTTTAAGGATGTTTCTGGGAAAGGAGAAACTATTGATCCTGATTTAGAAGGTGCAGATATTCAAACAGAGTTTTCCGGCCCAAATGAAGCTGAGACTACTACTCCTGAGGCAGGAGGGCCGGGTTTTAACGACATCCCAGAGAAAGAAGAAAATGGCAGAAGTACCACGGGAACCAGGGATGAAACAACACAAGAGGCAAACACTGCTGATGTAAGCCTAGTGGAGAGCAGCAATGACATCATAGGTAGCACTGATTTTAAGAAACTCCCTGGAAAAGAAGGAACTAGAGTGGATGCTGAGAGCCAAAATGCTCACCAAGGGAAAATAGAGTTTCATTACCCTCATGTACCCTCAAAAGAGAAAAGAAAGGAAGGCAGCAGTGATGTTACTAAAAGTACTAATTATAATGAAATTCCAAAAAATGGCAAAGAGAGTAGTAGAAAAGGTATAGAACATTCTAACAGGAATCAAGTGACCCCAAGTAAAAAACACAGATTTCCGAGTAAGGGCAAAAGTCAGGGCCAACTCATTCCCTCTCATGGTCTTGATAATGAAATTAAAAATGAAATAGGTTCCCATAGTGACCCTAATAATGAGGAGACTATAACAAAACACAGCAGAAAAAATCATCATGATCATGTACCCCACAGACAAGATAATTCTGCATGGAATAAGGGTATGCCACAAAGGAAAGGCTCCTGGGGTTACAGAAAACCCCATTCCAACAGGAGGTTTAGGCCCCCTAAAAAGCCGGACAGTAGTGAATCATCTGACAGCGGCAGTTCGAGTGAGAGTGATGGTGACTAGTTCACGAGAAACTCCCAGCAGGATAAAGGTTGGAATCCCTAGTCCTCTGTGATTTGATGGTGCAGGAGAGCCATCTAATAGCAAAGCAGGTCAAGGACAGAGCAGGGAATTGAGTAATTCAAGAAACCTGACTTCCAGGGCAGAACTGTTGCTCATTTGATGGCCATAGTATGAAATTCTATTCAAAGTTATGACTTTTTTAAGGAAAACAATTCATCAAGGATTTATGGAATAGGTAACATGTGAATAGGTGTCATAAAAATAGTTTATGAATGTCACAAAAGCCTTCCTTTGTTATTGTTCTATAGACATGAAAATAAACACTATTTCTTGTATAGTAATCTGTAATAAATGATCTATAAAATAGTCTGTTGTCTGTGGTGCTTCATTTCAGAGGCAATAATATTAGTTCTGCCTCTGGCACAGGCAGTGCTATGAAATTAATCTGCCGAATAAAGCTTGAAAGCATTCCCTCATCCCATTCTGCTTAGGCTAGCATTTACTTTTTCCTCTGACCTCCCTCTGGTCTAATAAAGATATCCTGCTTCATAGCCATCTACACTCTTTTCCTCTGTTGCACATTTATAACTTCTAATAAGGCAAATTTTATTTCCTGAAACAAATCTCCATGTGATCACTTTTCTCAATTCTGCCTCCTTCCAGACAAAGAGAAAGAGAACCTGAAAGAAATGCTAAGTGAACCTGAAAGCAAAGATGATCTTTTTTCCCTAATTTAATTTCCATCTTCTAGGTCTAACAGAAATGAGTATCAATGGAAAGACTTAAAATATCACCTAATAAATTATTCATCATCAGAATTCCAGAATAAACAATTCCTAGTACTTTGCTATTTTTATAAAAGACAATTGGGCATGCACACACACACACACACACACACACACACACAGACACACGCGCGCGCGCGCGCACACACACACACACACACACACACACACAAAACTGGAGACAATTAATGAAGCGAAGAAAATTATGTCAGAGTTTAAATTGCAGATAATTCCATTGAAATCAACATGCTACTTATATACCATATTATATCACACTTATACATGTGAATGGTCTGATCACATGGAAAACACATGGCATTTTAAAAGAAAAAAATGAGCTACAAGAGAAAAAGGAATGTTTTCTTTAGGTGACTACAGGTGAGACCTTCCAAAGACCATCTGTCCTGTCTGCTATCTAGTGGAGAAACGACATTACAATTCTCTGGTCGTATTTTGTTTCTTCTTTCCCAGCTTGAGTGTTCATACATATTTATTCAAATTTTCTTCATCGATTTAAAGGACACTCACAGTGTTTCAACATCCTCAATGCATTACTATGGGATGCAGACATGTAGGGGTGAGTCCAGAATGGAAGGAAGGAGCAGCGATACGAACTGCTGCCTGCTGTCAGGCAGTGGGTCGGCGCTTTCATCAACACCAGGTTTCAGCCATCAAACAGCAAGCACTAGCTTCACTTCAAAAAATATATAAATAAATGACGATTTCCAAAACAGGGTGGAAAATTTCAGCCTCACAAAGCTGCCTTACATATGGTGATTGAAATGGGCATAGTCTGCCACCTTGTGCCCAAAAAGATAAGAGCCCTCCAGGCTCTGGTGTTTATCCCCACGCCTGCTGCCACTCTCTCCAATCCCTCCCTCTTAGATTTCTCTGCTTGTGAATATCTAACCTTGATTTTGCAGCCCTAGTAAATCTGTTCTCGGCAACGCCAGCCAGTGAGGCAAGACATCCGATTTGGTTTGGCATGTCATTCAGCTTGGCTGATATACACTCACTGAGTGACCAAGTTTTACAAAATTCCATAGGGATCAAAAGAAGAGAGGAGACGCTCCCGGCCCTTATTAATATGAAACTTTAGTTAAGGAGAAAGGTATACAAAGCTGCAAGACAGGCTGTGGTTAAGTTCAATCACAGAAATATAAAGTGATTCTAGGAGTTGAGGACAGAGATGAACGCTAGCTGAAGGAAAGAGCAGAGATATGGTAAAATCCACTTTCCTTAAGGCATTTATTACACATTAGGAGGGGCTGCAGAGAGTAAGTTCCAACAGGCAAATGAGGGCTTGACCGTTGATGACCGTAAATGATACTATACATATGTTAGAGCTTAAGAAAGATCACTCCAACCGTAGGGCGAGGAAGTGGTGATGGGTGAGACGGGGCAGAGGGAGTTGGAAGGCAGAAGACTAGCAGTAAGGACACCCAAAGGGCTATTACTATAATCTAAAAGAAATTGAACATTGCCTCCTCACCTAGTATTTAGAACCTTCTTGGAACTAAGTAGGCACTCAGGATTGCAGTCATTTCAAAGGCACTATGGTGCTTTCCCAAAAACTCACGTTTCAAAAACAACTTCTAATAAGGTTAAACTCTGCTAGTCAAAATACTGATGCCTAGAATTAGGTGTTTACATATAGCATTAGACGGCCCAAAGGAAAAGGAGAAGAAATAGATGGGTCTGTATGAAAGTCATAGAAGGGAAAGTTGGGAGCAGAAAGGAAGAGTGCGTAATAAAAGCTTAGAAAAAACTTATGAGGAAATCTGGAAAGAATGAAGGACAAAGCTCTAATACAATCTCAAGGCCAGAAACCCAGAACAGGAAAAAAAAAAATGATGAGTGGATTCACACACTATCTACAAGAAAATCTACACAAACATATATGGTTTAGACTTTGTATAAAAAAAGACAAGAGCTGCAATTGGACTTTGTTTTATTAAATGAACAATACACTACACATTCATGAGGATAGTGTACAAAAGCATAGATGCTGCCTATTTAGAAATATGGTAATTGCTATATTTGAACTTTAAGTAGGCTGTTACTATTGTTAGTTTAGTAGATCAATAGTATAATTTAAACAATTTTAATTTAACAATTTTCACTTAAAATGATAAGCTAGAGAAGCCTCTGAAAGATCTCATAGAGACAAAGAAAGGGTAAAAAATTTTAAAGAAGACAGCTAATAAAAATAAGAATATACCACCAGATAGAGGGACATTTAAAATATAGCATAATAACAAAAACAATTTTCTGATTATAAATTAGGACATTTCTTTGAAGTAGTGTTTCTGGAGACATAAATCCTGAAAACTTTTAAAACCTGAATATATCATTAGCCATGAAAGAAACTGAAAAATGTTATCAAAAATTACATCTAAAAAAAAAATCACATCTCAAAAAATTCTCAGGTTTTACTAGTATTTTCTTTCATAATTTCAACAAATAGATGATTGGCATGATACACACACTGTGCATTGTTTTGGAAATAGTAGAAAAGATGGAAAGCTGCCCACTTCATTTTATGAAGCTAATATGATCTTGATATCAAACCCTAAAAAAATAGAACAAAATAAGAAAACCATAATACAAACATCACTTATGAACGTAGATTGGAAAAATCCAAGCAAGTTTAATTGCAAAAATACTTTTAAGGAGTCATTCAGTATGACAAAAAAGAGTGTATCTTAGAAATACAAACACAGTTTAATATTATGAAATCTAGTCCTATAATACATCACATTAGTAAGTCCACTGCCATCCAAAAAAGATAATGTCATTCATTTAACAAATGTTTGAGTTGAGTTCAGTTCAGTTGGCTGTCTACTATGTGCCAGATCCTGTTATAGGTGCTGAGGACGCCTTCATGGAGCTTACATGCTAATGGGAGAAAGACAGGCAGGATACAAACAAACAAACAAAATAGAGAGAGTATGTTAGAGGGTGATAAATGCTGTGGAGAAGATAAAGCAGGGAAGAATGATAGGAATTGCCAATTTAAATAGGATGATCAGAGAAGACTGCACTGAGGTGACATTCAAGCAGAATTCTGAGCAAGACGAGGGAGCTAGCTAGGTGGATATGAAGGAGAGAGGCATTCCAGGCAGAATTAACAGCAAGTGTAAAGGCCCTGAGGCAGCATCTGCCTGGAGTACTGAGGACAGCAGGGAAGCCAACATGGTTTGAGTGGATGTGCAAGGGGGGGAGTGATAGGTAGATCTGACCAAGTCCAAGCAGTGGAAGCAAAGAAGACAGAGCCTTGTAGAAGAAGTGAGATGGAAATCCAATCGAAGATTGTGAGCAAAAAGTAGACGGCCCAACTTATCTTAAAAAAATAACTCAGGCTACTGTAGCAGAGAATAGAATGTAGGCTGGTAATGGTGGAAGCAGGGCAAGAGCTAGAGGCTGCTGTAATAACACAGAGGAAAGGAATGGCATGAAGTGGTCAGCTTCTGTGTGTGTGTGATGAAGCATGAGCTGACAAGATGCACGGAGGATTTGGGTGTGAGGGTTTAAAAGAAAGAAAAGAGTCACAGATGACTTTAAATTTTTGGACTGAGAAATTGGAAGGGTGCAAAAATGTCATTATCAAATACTTAACACACATTTCTGATTTTCAAATTATTAGCAAACAAGGAATACCAGAGAGTGGTATACTCTAAAGATGATAAACAATGTATATCTAAAAACAGCTAATATTGTGAATAATGGTGAAATACCAGTGGCATTCAGATTTAATTTTAAAAAAACAAACAAATGTTTATAATGAAGAAAAACTGGGAAAACACTAAATATCCTTCAATAGTAGATTGAACAAATTGTGGTACCGTTATTCAGTGAAATTTTAAAACAACTTAAAAACATTTAGTAATGTGGTGAAATGACTCATTAAGTTAATAGAGCAGGATACCAGAAAGAAGATAAAGTCTAATACCAGTTTTCTTAAAATGTATATAAATATATATTTATAAAAAGGGCTGGGGGCTGGCAGAGTGGCGCGATGGTTAAGAACTGGCTTGGGACGCCAGAGG